CAGTTTAGGATTAAAACAGTAACTTAATTCTAAATTTTTGTATCTGACAATATCCATCAGATTAAATGAATGATGGTTACAAAAAAATTACAAAACAAGTTGGACATAAGAATATTAATCTTGTGTGAGAATAATTGATTAGTTAAGTATAATCATTCAATAACCCTAACAATAAATCAATTAGCAAATTCTTCTAATTGCCCAGCTCTACTATAAAACACTGAATTGTATTTTATACTTTTATATGCATATTTAAGATTAAATATCTAGATGTGGTAAGTTGTATAGATTATGTTTAGGTATATAAGTTATAAGAAAAAAATATTTAGTAATTGGCAATTTTTAGGTTTAAAAATTTCCTTATACTTGAGTTTTTAGGATCGTTATTATGTGTAGACAGTATTTTCATCCTTTGGCATCTCTTTTCAGGTTGCAGCAAAAATGAAGAAATAAGTAACCTACCAGTCACTGTCACGTCAGCTGATCTAACTGGGGAAAAGTGTCTTCGTATTATTCATAGTGATGAAAAAACAGTTTTAGGTGTGTCATTTGAGGTATTGGAGTTTAGAGAAACTTTGGAGCATTTAACCATATTAGATGGAGACAAAATACTCTTTAGTAGTGCTCTAATGCAGATTTCTTCTCTCAGTACCATGAATATAAAAGGTATGTTTAGACTAATAGATTTTAATTTTGCAGCTTAATGAATTTCATTTCACTATTGAGAGGCTGGAATTTGTGTATATATTTTTAGCAAGTAATGAAATAACCTAAGTTTTAGAGACAATTAGCAGATCATTTGAGCAATAACATTTTACTTTTCAAATGATTTATTTAAGTTTTATGTCAATTTCACTTTTTATATATATTTTTTATGTTAACTCATACATTTTACCATGTAAAAATTTATCAAAATATGTGTATATGTGTATAATTCAAGTAAAACAAGTAGTTAAAGATAGCATAACCTAACATTTCTCTTCCTTCCATGATTTTTCAAATTCATAACAATTAAACCAAAAAGAAATAGCATCACATATTTAGAGAAGGCAAATTAGAGTAATAATTACAGTGTGGGGATTGTATGTTATATCCTAGTAGGAGAGGTATCGGTGGAAGTAAATCCAAATAACTGTGTGGCTGTACCACCTTTAAACTTGAATCTTTGTTTGCATGCCTAATGTGTGAATGAAATTACAACTTAAACATTAAGATGTGGGGATTCAAGCCCACAGTTTTCCACATTTAGAATTACTGCTCACCTTCTCCACTAAAGTAATAACAGATTACTAAAATCAAGAACTTTTATCCTAAGTTAGCATTCCAGCTCCCATACATGTATGAACAGCATAGTAAAATCTGAGCTCTGAATATCAGGATTTGCAGTACCCTGAAAAAACCATGGAAAAAGTCTACCCTAGAATGCTCTTAAACAACGTACAAAAATTACCAAAATATATTTTTATGTGCAGCTTTAGTGATTTATACTGAAATTTTATTATTAAACAATTTATTAATGGTTGTAAAGTCTATTGTGTAATATACTACTAGTGATCACCAAGACTTGTTATTGCAAAATATGTTTGCAACTTAAGTAGCTGATTTCAGTATAGTATGTAGGATGATTTTGTAAGTCTATGATATTTAAAATTAGTATTGCTTATGATTTGATATATTATAGTTATTAATTTATATAAATAATAAAAAAGCCTGGGAGTAGGTACTCCCATACTAGGTGTGTGTGTGTGTGTATATATATATATATATATATATATATATTTAAAGCTTAGGCTAATTTTTAATCTAAGACTTTGCTTTCAGTTTTGTAATCAGAATTTGAAGAATTAGCAATATTTTCAAAATGATAGCTTGATAAGAAAAAAGCTTTATATAAAAAGCATTTTGTAATGTGAATTTTTGCTGTTGTTTTAAGTTTCTCATAAATTGCTGATGCCATTCATTGTGCTAAGAACATGATTCTAGTCATCCAAAGAAAACCTCATGTTTTGGAGAGGATTAAATGAATCTCAACTGTATTAAAAATTTTAAATACCAAGTAACCTGAATGAAGAGAAAAAGATGAATTTAATTTTAAGTTAGTAGATAATTCATGAGGAATGATTTTACTTGAGCTTAGAGAAATGTTAGAATTTAGTGTAGTTGATATTTCTTACATACTGTTACGTCTCTGTATGTTTGTTTGTTAATTCTAAGATACAAGCCCTTTCTTCACAAAACTTGTTTATTCTTCCTCAATACAACTTTGTAATGTACTTAATTTTCACAGTTACACACGCTATAGTTCACAACAATTCACTCACTTTCTATCGCACTTAGACTTAATTGTCCGTCCCCGCAAACTATAGTTCCAATCTCTGTGTCTGCTATCCTCAGTTCCCGCCGACCGTAATCGCTGTCTTTCTTTCTCTCTGCCTGCTTCGTCTCCGCTGCGTCTCTGCCTCGTCTACTGCTTCGACTCCGTCGCTGTCTCTCACTGTCTAGCGCACTTATATACGATAATACTGCCTTTTCTAGAAACTTCTAAGACTCTCAACATGTGCTACCAGCGTCAATTGACTCCCGCTGTCGCAACACACTAGCGAATCTTCTAGAATACTTGTCACATGACCCCCACTGTCGTAACAATACATTAGAAGATGTTTTCATCATATTTATATAGAATCATGCTACTGTTGGCTTGATGTTTTAAAATTAGAATGTTGCCCAGAATTAGGATGAACATTTGGAGCATTAGAACCTTTTTGTGAACATAAAATGAGAAAAATAAACATATCTTAGAGTATGGAAGTTGCTTTCTAAGCCTTCTTTCTGAGTTTTAAGTCACCTTCTTTGTGATTTGCAGAAATATCAGTTACAGTTTGATCTTATTTTGTAAACTTAATTTTCAATTAAATATTTTCTTTATGCAAGATTTTTAGATTTTGATGTATTTTATCCTGTTCTGTGTGAAATCAATTTTGATATTTGTCTTTGTCACCCCTGATTTGTAATTTCTTTTAGTTTTTGAAAAAATTGTAAACTTATTTTTATCAATTAAAAACCTTTTTATATTTAGAAAAGCCTGTTAAATGAAATTTAAAAAAGCTGTCCATGTACAATAGTGACCTTATTGTGTAACCTTTATTAGTGAAGTTCAGTAGTGTAATATAACTGTTATTTTCATTGGAAAGTACTCAATGTGTAGTGCTTAAGAAGCTTTATTTATCTGACATGTGGCTTTTAATGGTTCTTTGCAAAATTCTTAAAATAACAAAGTATTTAAATTTGAAGAATCATATGAGATAAACTTGTTAAAAATGCTAAATAGGTGAATAGTAGTTAAAAGTATAACACACTGTGTTTCAACAACTTAACATATCATGAACAGATGAAACAAGAAATAAGAAGAAATTGTACATAACTGACTTTTCTAATAACTGTATTTTTAACATGATTTACCATGTTGAATGTGAAGAATGTTATGTAGGAGAAAATGGTATAAAATTGAATATTTATTTACTAGGGTATATCTGTACTCTATTCTTATAAATCTTAAACATGAATAGAAAATCTGACTTAAGATGTTTTTGAATTTAGTTAATATTTTAAAGAAATATCTGCAAATGCAAACCTAAAGGAGCTGTTTTAATAATACAAAAAATCTTTTAGTAAATAAACACGAAGGATCATCATTATACCTTTTTAAGAATGAGAGTCTTGTAATGTAGTTTGTGAAACTGGAATTTTCCTTTCCAATATCTGTAATTTTTCTTGTTGAGTTTTATTTCTCCTAATGATAAGTTAACTTGTAAAAACATTATAATGTACTTTTAACTACTATTTACCTTTTCAGTCATTCTACACTATTTTCTTCTTAAGTATGCTTCCGGGAAAATAAGATTTAAAAACTGAAATATGTTATGAAGTGATGATACTATCACCAAATTGTGAGGGAAAAAAAATTTTTTTTTAAATAAAATAATTCATAATTTTCTCAGAACAAAATTCTCAAGGATTTGGTGAAAATGTCGAATTTGGAATTAAATGATTATCAAGAGCTCCACACATTGAAAATATTTATTTATTTATATAACTTGTATATCACATACTAAACTCTTAAATTCACTTGCCATTTTATATCAGTGGTGTACTTTTCCTCAAACTCTCACTTCAGAATGGTGGTAGAGACAATTTGTCCTTTTCTGTATTATAATATATACATGCAGTAGTAACAAAGAATACTGAGCCCACACTACATGTGTTAGCTGTATGTGATTTGTCCCACATAAATAGTAAAGTGATAATAACTTTATATTTTAAAGTTTATGATACTGTATGTATACCAGTGTTTTGTTTATTTGATGTTATTTTTCTTTCAATTTCAGAAAGATACATTCGGACTAGTGGAAACAGTGTAATGATATCTTACCTAAATCCTTCTGTGGCTTATCTCTACCCTCTTAACATCTCCATTCAAATAACATCACACAGTAAGGTTTTAATGATCTTTCACTCTTGCATTATTTTTTCCTGATATTGCTTATATTGTTATCCAAGGTTAATGTAATGATTTTCAAATAATTGAAAAGAAAGATTTATACAGTGTATAAATATATACAAATATGGCCAAGGTACATTTTTTTTCCATAATATTTAAATTCAAGTAAACTCAAAAGTTTTCAATAAAAGCAAAAAAAAATATTCTATTAGATATTGGTAATAATTTTATACACTGTGGTACAAGATACATTTTTTTTTCCAAAATATTTGCAATAGATTTTGAAAATGAAATTGTTCTTGAAATATTTGTATTGTTTAATTATCACCTCTTCATTTTCATACCTATATTTTTACCTTAAGTTTTGTGTTTACGTATATAGGTCAAGGAGGCTATTTTAAGAACAGTGGAAGTATACAGTCAACTTCTAAAGAAGATGCAGTATTTTTGTTGCAAGTAGAAGAGGGTGAACAAATAATGCTGAATGTCAGTAATTCTTCCTTCACCCCCATGTCACACATTTATATATACAGTGACTTTTACAAAAGTTCTTCTTTAATAGCAGATTTTACTAGGGGAAAAAAGTCTATCCAGTTGTTTCCCCATCATTTCAAATGATGGTCATTTCTCAAAACTTTGCAGAGTTTGCCAAATTTACAAGCAATTTTCAAGGGATTCCTAATGGTAAATTTCATTAGATTGTTTTTACATGTTATTTTTAACATAAAAAACCAAAGTATTTCTAGATAATTTTCTGTCAGAATTTTAACCAACAACAGAATTTTATTCATAGAGTCTTGTAATTTTTAACTATATATATTTATAAAAGTAGTATATAGATGCAACTTCTTGGGTTTTTCTTAATCTGTTCACTTTCTTTGCTTCAAAAACTATATCTATGCCTGTAGAGAATCCTATTAAATGTTGTTTGGCACACAGAAAAAACATTATTTTCAAGTTAAAAAGTTAACTTGTACAATTCTGCTTATGAAACAATAGCAATGATTGATTTGTGTGGATATATATATATATATATATATATATACACACACAGC